GATGGCCAGAACGACGAAGAGGAGGAACTTGAAGAGAAGGAGGCGCGATCACGTGCACGAGCCACGCCAAGTTCCGGAATCCCAATCAAACCAAAACAACGCGACACGTTGGCGACTTTGAAGCGCTACACCTACAGCAAATAGTAGATAAGAGGAGGAAACGTTCACTTTGACTCACTCCGCCACAGTTGGAATGCATTTCTTATCGATTTTTGAAGAAAAAAAATGCAGTGCAATATTGCCATGGCTCGGGCTCGAATCGAACGAACATCATCTGCGTCGGAGTATAAATGCATATTCATTCGAAATTTTGCGCAGATGCGGACCATCAGCCACCGGGCCTGTCTCTCTCATTCCATAAGTTCAGGTACTGTAAGTACTTGTAGGGAGGCAACCACCCAAGTCACCGTGACATGCAAAATAGATTTGGGCAACGCAACCACTGCGATTTTGATCGTGACTGTTGAAAATTTGGCAACCAAAAAATTCAACTTGGGCCAGATCTCTGCTTTGGAGGGTAAATAAAGCTGATTTATGAGTAAGGTCTGTACAATAATTGACTCATATATCTTTTGGTGGTTTTTCAAGTAGATTTCAGCAAATTTTCGATTATTTTATGCATGTCACGGTTTACAAGCAAAGCAACCGACCCCATGGTGACCGTGACCTGCCTCAATTTCAGCAACGCAACCACTCCCACCGTGACCGTGACGGTTGCTTCCCTACAAGTACTTACAGTATATAAGGACTAGGCAAACTGCAAGTCGTATGTAGAAGCCGAGCTTGAATCAAACGAGCTTCTCTCCTGCAGTGTTGCGGCTTAAGGGCTAAGGGTTAATTAAGGGTAACCCTTGAAAAGGCCTTAAGATAAGGCCTTAGCTTCAGCTCAGATCCTTGTTAACCCTTAATTAAGCCTTAGTACAGCTTTATGGCTGTCACGCCAAGTGGAAGGCAGCCAGCAACAAACCGGCAGATAGCGACGAGGGTGATACAGACGATGAAGAGCTTCCCACCCCGGGGACTCGTTGTCCTACCAAAATTTTCCCTCGTTCTCTCGACCTCCTATTCGGTGGCGTGGTCCGTCGCGCCGTAGGAAAGCCACCGCCAGCACAATTCACGAGGGAGGTTTTGATGATGGAGTTGCTTGCAGCGGAGGAGAGCGATGAGGAGCCCGATGATGGAGCACTTCCTGGCTCAGAGGACGAGTACACCCCGTAGAAACTCGCCCACTAGCGCGCCCGCATAATAAACGTCCATTTTAGGAAATTTTGATCTAAGGCCTTATTAAGGGCAACCCTTATTAACCCTACTTAAGGGTCCTAAGCCCTTAGGAAAAAAATTACCCTTAATAAGGGCTTAAGCCGCAACACTGCTCTCCTGGGCCGGCTGAATTTAATGAGGGCTGTCTGGAACCTACTTATTGATCATGATCAGATGGCCATTTAAGTAGCGCACACGCATCCACTGGGCATTTCCAACACCTCAAAACAAAGCGACTTCCCGAATGTTTGATGGAAAAGTGGAAACTTAATAAAAAGATAACATATGTCTTAATAGAGGCCCGGGCCCGAATTGAACGAGCGTCGTCTGCGTCGGATATTATAGCAACGGAACCATCCAGCATCGAATGCAGATGCGGGCCATCTGCCACCGGCCTTTCTTCATTAGCAGCGGGACACCGTATATTGTTCAACGAATAAGTACCAGGTATATGAGGAAGAACAAATTGAAAGAGAGGCGAGTCGAGGCTTATTAGTGCAGCATTATCCAAGGTCGAGCCAGAATCAGAACTTTCAAAGGGGGAGTCGGACAGCGCTAGAATGTAGGTGAGAACTTGACCCGAGGAAGAAGAGGGGGAGTGTAGGCTAGACGAGCGTCGTCTGCGTCGGATATCATAGCAACGCAACCTTCCAGTATCGAATGCAGATGCGGACCATCCACCACCGGGCCCTTCCCCCTGACCTAGAAACTGTAACAAAACGAAACCAAGTATCAGCGCGACTGCAAAAAAGCGAAGAGGAAAAAAAAAGTCGCATGTGGCTAGTTGGCAAGGCCCAGGCCCGAATCGAACGAGTGTCGTCTGCGTCGGAGTACGATAAGCTGCCATCCCAACTTTGAGCAGGTGCGGACCATCCGCCACCGGGCCTTCCTCCATGACCTAGAAACAAAACGAAGCCAAGTATCGACATATATCAACGCTCAGCGCTCAGCGCGACTGCAAAAAGGAAAGAGGGAAAATACATTGCAGCCTGGAAAAGGCCCGTGCCCGGATCGAACGAGCGTCGTCTGCGTCGGAGTACGATAAGCTGCCATCCCAACTTTGCGCAGGTGCGGACCATCCGCCACCGGGCCTTCCTCCATGACCCAGAAACAAAACTAAAGCAAACCATGTATCAGCGCGACTGCAAGAAGCAAAGAGGAAAATGCACGCTCGAGTAGTTGGTAGGGCCCAGGCTCGAATCGAACGAGCGTCGTCTGCGTCAGATATGATAGCAACGCTACCGTACAACTTGCGCCGATGCGGAACATCCGCGATCGAACCTCACCTACAGATCCGGGAGAAACTGACCGCGCTCGAGGAAGTATAATTTTCGGATACCCGAAAATGCGTTAAGAAATCCGGCATTGTATGAGACCACAACACCAGCGCACTGGCAGTGTTCCTCTCGCAAGAAAAGACGCCGAGAAGAGGATGACACTAGTACTGCGATGCCCACAGTTATTTACAATTACTTCTTCGGGTCCACCGCATGCAGACAGATGTAATCCTTGACCATGGGCGCATAAAAGCATCTCAGCATCGAGGTAAAATTGAGCGCTAACACACTCGACAAAAAATCGGACACATCAAGCACTTCATCCTATGCCTCGGGCACGATTCGAATGAGCGCCTCCTGCGACCACTTCTACGGATGCAGGTGCGGGCTGTCCCGCCATCGAGTCGGCCTTTGGTATATGTATCAACCACAGATGTTAAACGTTGGCAGAATAGAGCAAGACGCCCACATAGTAGAGTAAATCTAGGTATAAAATATATATAAAATCAGGGTAATCACTCCCGGCCTCCGGCCGCGGCGAACGTTCTCGCCTAGGCCCAGGTAATCCCCGTACACGCCGCAGAACCCGCACCCATGACAGACACGCGTAAACGAACACACAGGGTGGTCCGTGCGGCGATTGCGATCGCGATCCGATACCCGCTCTGTCACATCCGAGCGGCCGGGCGATGCCGGCCATTTAACAATCGATCTGCTACCCATCGATACCACCTCCTCCACTACCACCACCACCACCACCATGGCTGACGTATTCGTGAGTGCCCCCTCCACGTTATCGTCCTCTACGACGTTGCTGACGCTCCGCGCGTCCTCAGTTCGACATCGAGATCCAGGGCGACCCGACGCTGCACCGCGTCGTGTTCAAGCTGTTCGACGAGACGGTGCCTTTGACGGCGGACAACTTCCGCAAGCTCGCGCAGGGGCTCGACCGCAACGGGAACCCGTCCACGCAGAAGCACACGTACGCGGGGAGCAAGTTCCACCGCATCATCCCGAACTTCATGCTCCAGGGCGGCGACTTCACGCGCCACAACGGGACCGGCGGCGTGAGCATCTACGGCGAGAAGTTCAAGGGTGCGTTGCACGCCTGCCTCTTCGGTTTGGAATGAATGCGTTGGATTGACGGTGCGCAGACGAGAACTTCAAGCTCAAGCACACGAAGCCATACCTGCTGTCGATGGCGAACGCGGGGCCGAACACGAACGGGTCGCAGTTCTTCATCACCACCGTCGTCACGTCCTGGCTGGACGGCAAGCACGTCGTCTTCGGTGAGTTCCGTGCCCCCTTTGCCCCGGCCACAGCATCGCCATGTCACCCATCGATTGTTGATTTTTCATCTACCCCATTTTGATTGCGTCATCCCATCTATCCCAATCCTGCTTCCCATCTACCCCCATACTCCCACACTCCGCACCCCAAATACTAATGCTCCCCTCACAGGCGAGGTCGTCGAGGGCCAGGAGATCGTCAAGACAATCGAGGGCTATGGCTCCGATAGCGGCAAGCCCTCCAGGACCGTCACCATCGTGCAGTCCGGCATCGTCGAGTAGGCGCGTGCGGGCCTCTGGGTTGCTTGTATGGCGAGGAAAAAGAAAAGCGGGTGTAACAGACAACAGACAGAAGAACTCTGAATTGAAATGTAGTGTTTAAAGGTTAACAATATCGATTGACGTTGTAGCTAGGGCATGTCGTCTGCACAGCGGGCATCTGCGTTTCGGTTTCAGCCGTTCGGTGGGATCCGAGGTGCATACCACACCGGGGCTTCGGGACCTGCCGCCGGGGAACGTGTGTGCCGACACATGTGTGTGGGCGCCAGCATGCTCAGCACTTCCATCGATGGTCTTCGAACTCGAGATGTTGCGACTATGACGTCACTCTGCCGGGCGTTGCCGGTGGATGACTTTTGGGGTTCTCAGTCTGCAACCGCGATTTGTCTCAAGACGTCCGTGGTCTCTGGATCATGGATAAGTATTTGATAAGTATCGTCCCACGACCTACCTACCTGCCCCCCTGAATAAGGCAACTCTTTGTCAGCGGCATTCACGGCATACTCATAGCACTTACGTCTGATCCATTTCATCTCCCTCAAAATTATTGTTACATACTTTATTCACTCTAAATCTCATCTAACAATCAATGGGTCCGCTGAAGAAATTCGAAGGGATTTTTCGGTAAGTTTTTGGTCAACTCGGAAGTTGCCGAGTTTCCTGACCAATCCAGAGATTGCGCACCTCTTGGGCCTTGATTTGTCTTGCCAAGTCACAGTGCGGTTGCAGTGCGGTAAACCACTCGACAACCGCGCTCCGCAGTGGCCACGCGTCTCGAACGGGAAAGACGGCTCGATCCCAGACGGCAGACCGTCCGCCACATTGTCCCGCCGTGGACATGTTGGGTCTCTCTTGCCCAGCTCTATCTGTGCTTCGCTTCGATGTATGAAAGGAAGGCCCGGTGGCGGTTGGTCCGCGTCTGCCCATTATTCGGGCACTGGTTTCAGCATATACTGCAGGAAACGCTCGCTCGATTCGAGCCTGGGCCACAACCTCGACAGTGACATCTTTTTCTGTTCCTGTTCTCCTCCTGCTGGTTCGTCGGTTTTTGATGTCTATATAGCAGGCTGGATACTTTTGTTGTAGAACGGCCCGGTGGCGGATGGTCCGCGTCTGCACCAACTGTCTGGGGCAGGAGCATCTTGATCTTTGCAGAGGACGCTCGTTCGAATCGAGCCCGAGCCGTACAGCGTTTGTCATAATTTTTGGTCGGTTCTCCGGCTGTTTCGCCGGTTTTCTGATGCTGGATGTTCTCGTTGTAGAAAGGCCCGGTGGCGGATGGTCCGCGTCTGCACTGACTGTCTGGAGCAGGAGCATCTTGATCTCTGCAGAAGACGCTCGTTCGAATCGAGCCCGAGCCGTGTACATCTTCGTCGTGTTTTTTTTGGTCGGTTCTCCGGCTGTTTCTCCGGTTTTCTGATGCTGGATGTTCTTGTTGTAGAAAGGCCCGGTGGCGGATGGTCCACGTCTGCACTGACTGTCTCGAGCAGGAGCATCTTGATCTCTGCAGAAGCCGCTCGGAGTCGATCCCGAGCCGTGCATCTCCGAACCATTGCTTTGTCTTCCCGTCAGGTTTTTGGTAGGCTTCCGACCGCCCCGTGCTGATTCTCCTTTTAGGTACGGGAGCAAGGCCCGGTGGTGGACGGTCCACGCCTGCGTTACTTGTTACGATTGGGCGTAGTTCTGCTGCAGGAGACGCTCGTTCGATTCGAGCCCGGGTCATGTTGAGGCAGATGATTTTTTTTATGATTTACCGAGTCTGGCCCTCGCTCACTCGTTATCGCAGTGAAAGCGTCTTTCATTTACGGCCAGGTTCGTCCACGGGTCGTTCAAGCGCACGCTGGCCCTCAATCGCTTTCTCAGGCGATGCGCCACGAGCCGCAAGCTGCTGCGCACCGGGTTCGTGTTGCGGCGCTCAAGGCACGTATCGATCCTCGGTGTGAGATGTCCCTGGTGGCAGGGCTAAGACATCATGCGCAGGTCGCGCCCGGATTAGACCACCTGGCGTCCGCCAACATTAACAGATTGCAGAACATCCAGACGAGTGTGGGACCCTGGTGTCCGGAACGTAGTCGACCAGAATTTCCCATCAAGGTCCATTGTCCAGGCGGCACAGAATTTCCTCAATCGCGGTTCTAGGCGTACATTCCACTGCCTGGAATAAACCTTGGGTGGCTCTACTATAACTGATGTTCTCTCACCGAAACTCGTGTCAAGTGCAATTAATGAGCCGACAGGAAGTCTCTGGAGCGCTTGGAATCGGTCTCCTTATGCTCTTCCGGGTCTTCTCTTCCCGTTACCTCCCTGTTTATCGAGCGGACAATTTTTTTATGTGGTCTTTCAGACCCCTGGGCCCTTCCTGCCAGAATCCGATTCGAAGCAGATGTGAGAGGTACACTGCGTCCCGTTGAAACTTGATGCTTTGCGGAATTCTACTTACCGGATTTGTGGTTTCATGCTGGTATACATTGTACACCACGTCCGAAATGTCCATGGAGAGCATGGACGTGCCAGCTTCGAGCAGCAAAACATGCGAAAATCGGATAGAGGCCGATGACTCCACTCTCCATTAAAGCAAGCACATCAAAGAATATCTATGAATTTGCTTCCTGCATATTTACAGCTATTTGCGGAACTTAGGGCGCGGCCAAATTTTTTCCTTTTTGGTAAGTTTTTGATCTCTTTCACTAATTCCCTTGTAACGTCCTCAGATCTTCTCCGTTTCGCTCAAAACTTGGATCATTCGATTCGCAATATTTGCAGAGGGGTTATATCTGGAAACACAGCAGCTTACCAATCTGATGGTCGGAGGGAGCTTATAAGTATTTGAGGGATCCTATGCAACGTATAATTTCGATACAAATCGAATGGTCCATGTTTCGAGAGAAACGGACAAGATTTGAGGCCGCTAGGGGGGCATTATTGAAAGAGATCAAAAACTTACCAAAAAGGAAAAAAAAAATGGAAGTTCCGCAAATAGCTGTAAACCTACGCTTACTGAGATTGATGAACCTCGAAACCGCGGTTGGGTAGGAGACTGGATGACCGTGTGATACAAGTGTAGTATTTAAGTATTGTTGTCTATGAGCAATTGACGACCGTGCCAAGCAGCATCCAAATATAAGCCGCTGCGGGATGCAGATGCTGATGCTGACCCAAATTCCCTTTTACGGTAGTCGTGAGAATATCAGCCTCGTCACATCAAGCACCAAAGATTGCATCAAATAATTGTCCGCCGTTCGGGGAGGCTCCGGACGCTGTGCTCCACCGTCCCGCACAGCGTCGGGATGGCTGTCGGGCCCCCGCTCGACACCGGATACAATGATTAAAAGAGCATTTTTCCAGTATGTTCACATGGCACTGTCATATGCAGCCAGAAATGCAAGGTAGGTTGTCATAAATACACAAAAATGTGTCCCATCGTCGTCCGAGGGTTGTCGGCCACGACGACGACGACCAGCGACGACCTGCATTGTGTGGTCGTGGCTTGCAAGAGGCTTGTCACACTCGGTATCATTCGGAACTTGCCAATTGACTTGCACATTCTCACGACTACCGTAAAAGGGAATTTGGGTCAGCATCTGCATCTCGCAACCGAACTGGCTCTAATCCTCCCTCCATGACGACGTTGTGCACCCGGTGTAGGTCCCAACTTCCCCAGATTCAGGATACTCTGGGGAAACCGAACAATCGGTCTCAGCTACGCAGTCGGCTGGCGGAGCTAGACACACTGATCGACACGCTCACGGCTGAGCGCCGACGTCTCCAGGCTGCATCGGATTTGATTGTGTACCCTGTTCTATCACTTCCCACAGAAATCACCTCCAAAATCTTCCAATACACTCTTCTTTCGATCCCCCGGCCCTCCCCACCCGAGGCTCCTTTGCTGTTAACCCAGATATGCCGCGAATGGCGGGCGATCGCTGTAAATGACCACCATTTATGGCAATCTATTTTATTCGAGGACATTGGATCTCTGGAACTCCTCAATTTATGGCTGTCCCGCTCTGGGAACCTGCCGTTGAGCTATTCGTTGCTGAGCTCGGATCCTGCGCAGGCTGAGTCCCTCCTCGAGGCCTCCATACTGCATGCTCACCGCTGGCAGGATGTGACATTAACGCTCCCGCTCCCCACATTCGCCAAGCTGGAAATTAACCAGATAAATTTGCCTGTTCTCAGGAAAATATCCCTCGCGATCCGCTCTGCCACCTATACCGGCGTCGTCACGTTCGGCAACACCATCACAATCCAAAACGCTCCATTGCTCCTTGAGGCTCATGTAACGACCATCCCCCATGTTCAATTCGATCTTCCGTGGCCTCAGTTGACGACGCTCACACTAAGACACAACGTGGAATTCTCGGACTGCCTATCACTCTTGGAGCATTGCCCCGAACTCGTCAATCTTGAGATATCCATCACGGACCCTGGCGTTCCTGCAATTCCTCCCGCTCCTCTCACCCACCATTCCATGCAATGTCTCACTTTAAATTCCATGACTCTTCTGGAGTACTTGTCGCTCCCGCGCCTCCAGCAACTCACGGTATCCCAAGATATCGAGTTCCGACACGCCGCCGCATTGGAATCGTTCATGCGTCGCTCCGCATGCATTCTCCGAGTTCTCTCCTTGCTGATCAGTTATATCGCGCCGGACGCATTGCGCGCATGTCTGCGTGCAGTCCCGGATTCTGTCGTGGATCTCGAGTTAGCATGGCGGGTCCTCGACGAGCGCAGCGCGATCTTCAATATTTTGACCACGGATATCCTCCCTGACCTCGCGACCCTCCGGCTCAGCGGCCGCTACCTCTCGCCCGCCGAGTTCGGCACCCTGCTCGACGTCCTCCGCGCACGACACGCGGGCGGCGTTCTGCGTTCGTTCACGCTCCGTTTAGACGTGTTTTTGAGCGTGCCGAACGTGCGCGTCAGGCCCGGAATCTCCACAATAGAGAGGTTCCGCACCCTCGCGGCGGAAGGCCTGAAGATCAAGATGATCTTGGTCCTCTCGGGGAGTGAGAACATCAGCGTTGTCACGCTGCTCGAGTCGTCCACGGGTTAGCGGTGGTCCATGTTTTGTGTAGTAGTGCCATTGTACGTTGAATTGTCCCGCAGACGCGGTTGAATTTGAGCATGCTGGAATCAGAACCGTACCCCACGACGAGCAGCGTCCCCGTTGCGTCGAAAATCTGGGACTCAGATTTATTGTACAGGTACTGGGAGATATTACGGCCTTTCAAAAACGGTTGACGCGCCACCGTGATAAATCTGCCTCTAGCATTCGGCTAATAGAGGCTGTTCTGGTGGGATATAAATTAGATATTGTCAACATAAAGCGTGGCCAGTATCTCGAGAAAATAGGTTCTTCTGGCCACATGTTGTCCGAATATTATTCAAGCCTTAGCCAAATATTGTGGATATATAATATTGAGCTCACCACAGGTGATTCAATTGAAATCAGCTTTATTGCTCATCTACGTGTACGTATACACATGTACGACTATGCATGGCCACGTATACGACTTAGCCGCAGCCCGTAAGCAGAACCCGGAAGACTACGATGGCGGCGGCAGAAGTGAGTCGCGCGCGATCGCAAGTTGACGTTGGGTACCAGTTGTATTCGAGTGACGCGCTGCGCAGATTATCTGTCCAGAGGGAAGTTAAATGACAATGCGGGCATGTCGAGGGGAGAACACACGTGCGTCAAAACTCCTGCTTATCTGACCCGCGACAACCTGGGGAACCGAGAGAAGGTCCGCGAGGGAGACGGTATGCGGATGCGCGTGCAAGAGATATTGAAACATGTGGGTGCGGGGAAGGAATATAGCAGGATGCTGACCTACACAAATGAGGACATACACGTTTAGTATCTTAGGCATTCGGGGAGACATCCGAATGCCTATTTCCACACTGAATGCCTATTTGCTGAGTGGTCATCCCTTTTGTGCCACTGATTTGCCGAGCCTCGGCAGTCCGGCATCATACACACATTTTCCAACTCGCCCACAGCCTTAAAATATACCTTGCTAACTCTAACTCTGACCTGAACCCCTAACTCTAACACGAACCTACTAACCTGAACTCTAACACGAACCGCTAGCCAGCCCGAACCCGAACCCGAACCTATCCTATCGAGACGCAGCCAGCATCTGTCGTCGACGTGGAAGGGAGGAAGAAAAAGACCGCTGTGGGCAACATTAAAGCTGCCAATCTGTCTCGCACGCCACAAAGAGCGCAACGGAATTTGAATCCAAGACCCGCTTTCCGACATCTCCGACAATCGGGGGAGCGCTGAACATGCCCACAAGCAAACTGACGTACGCGTATAAAAGGTACTGCAAAGTCTGACATACGCCGCGGCATACAATGTCACTGCTAGCCAGACGGCGCTGGCGCTACGCGCCGAAACACACACCGCGGGACGCCGTCGTCCTGCAAGACCCACACACGCTCCAGCGCATAGCCCCGCCTCCGTGGGAGCCACACGCTCCAGACATACCAGTACGCGACCCCGATCAGCGATACGGAGAGCGCGACCACGACGTGCAGCTGCGATTCGTTTACTCAGATGTGCTTGGGTCAGAAAAAAGGAAATTCGACGGACCCAATACGGGAGGTGATCGTACACGCGCGAGCCGGGCGCGGGCGGGACGAGCGGCACTGCGATGAGGAATACGTTGGACAGGAAGAACAGCGCGATGACGGTCTTGGGGGCGCGGAACGGCGGC